TTCAAAATTTTGCTATTAAAATACTGCAAAATTAAAAAAATTAAAATCAAAATTTCGATGTTCAAATAAATTCAAAATTCATAAACTTAAAAATGAAATTGAAGTACTATTTAATATGAGTAAAACAGTTCTAGTTCCACAGTGATAGCTTATTTGGATGTGAAGTTATAGGCTCTAGAACATAGGCCTTTTTTTTCATGTTTTTCATTATAAAAAATGTTATCTGGTAAAAAAACAATAAAAAAATATATATATATTATTTTTGTTGTCAATGATCTTTAAGGAGTCTATAATATAAATTTCACAATTTCTGAGCTATACCAGCGCACTCATTAGGTGATTTCACATGGATTGATCCTTTCAGAACTGATTCAGGTAGTTCACTTCAACAAATAGATGATATAGTTCCTACACATATTAAATTTAGAGGGCAAAGTTTGGGTCATAGATTTTATGAGCATACATATTTTGACCATTATAATTTTAGTCAGTTTAATTTCATATATCATTCTTAATGATATATGGTTGCAACTGGAATAATTTGGTTAAAAGAAGTAAAACCTCTACCTATCAGTAGATTTGTCGTTAATTTTGAGTTGATCACGTAACATTTAATATTTCTCCCAACACTATTGTTAGGTAAGAATTCATACAGGTTTAGGTTAATTTTATGCCATTGGTTTCTATCGTATATTATATTATGCTACCTATATCTTTTACTCCGAGTGAGTCGTATTATTCGGTAAAACGTTTCGCAATCATAAATAATTACATTTTTAGAAAATAGTATTTATTTATTTAGTATTATGTTAATTATTTTTACAAAAGTAAATATTAGACTATGTGAAAGAAGTCAAGTTAATTACTAAAAAACACGTGTAAAGAATACACTAGAGTAGGTTATGTTATAGAAATTTTGAGACGATTACGTGAAAAATTAAAATAAGCGACTGCATAGGAAAACCATAGTCTTTTGTCCTTATATAATGTGTCACGATCAGCATAAATGGGGATTATAGTGTCGAAAACTAATTAACCTCGTATGTTATACTTCTGATCGTTGCCACTAGTCCTATGATTAAGTTTTTCTGAGATTTGTTACTAAAATGTATTCGTTACATATTAAAAGATGAAAAGTCACTATAGTATTTCCCATTATTTTGTAATCAAATTAATGTACTGGAGTGTTACAAAGACACAAAGAAAAGCACTAACTTATAACTACCATATACGGGGTGGCCCACCACTCACTGACAACTTAAATAACTTTTGATCCAGTTAATATTTTTAGTTGATTTTTTTTTTAAATAATAGTTATACGTTAGGTCTATAGCTATATCTCAATAATTAATTTTTTTACATTTTATTAAAAATATTAATTATTTTTAAATTTTAAATAAAATGTAAAAAAAAAATCTAAGATAGCTATTTTGTAGAGTAGAATTTAAGAAAAATTTTAGTAAAAAAATATCTTATTAATATTCAGTAGTAAATATTCTGTAGCGTTTTGAAGTTTGTGAAAATTTGAATTTTCATGTACTATTTTACGGTATTAAACATTGAAATACGTATTGAGAAAAGGACAGAAGAAAACGCTATCTTTTCAATATACTTTTGAATGAGAGTGATAAGTAATAATTGCCTTATCTAATTTCTTATCATGGTATTTATGCCAAGTTTGTAATGTATACACATTATCATCATATGTATACACAGTAATCATGAAAAGATAGCGTTTTCTTCTGTCCTTTTCTCAATACGTATTTCAATGTTTATAACCGTAAAATAGTACATGAAAATTCAAATTTTTACAAACTTCAAAACGCTACAGAATATTTACTACTGAATATTAATAAGATATTTTTTTACTAAAATTTTTCTTAAATTCTACTCTACAAAATAGCTATCTTAGATTTTTTTTTTACATTTTATTTAAAATTTAAAAATAATTAATATTTTTAATAAAATGTAAAAAAATTAATTATTAAGATATAGCTATAGACCTAACGTCTAACTAATGTTTAAAAAAAAAATCAGCTAAAAATATTAACTTGATCAAAAGTTATTTAAATTGTCAGTGAGTGGTGGGCCACCCTGTATAAGTCTTACAAATGGAAAACGCCTATACGGTCAGCAGTTCGTAGGATTATATTCGAAATAGGGTATTTTATTGTAAAGGCAAAAATTAAATGTGTTTTTGAATGGTGTAAATTTTTGTATGGTCTGAGAAACACATGAGATATCGATTTACCACAAAAGTTCTATAAATGGTATACCATATCATCTACTTTTTCTATTTTTTGACTATATGTATATAAACATTAGCTTATATTTTCGGGTCTTTGGCGCAAACTAAGAACTTGGTTTTTGTATTATTTATTTTCATTTCTGATAATCTAAGTATTTCATTAATTTCATAAACTACACGCTTTATTTTACCTTCGGTTAGAAAATGAGGTAACAAAATACAGAGTGATACTTTTAATATCAAAACGATAGTCACTCTTATCCACTCGATTTTTATTAATTATGTATATTGTCATTAAAAAAAAAAGTTGACACCCATATAAGGTATGAATTAAAAAAAAAACTGCTATATCCCTGCTGTACTGCGATCTTATTGTTCTGATTTTTTTTCTTAAACATAAAATTTCATATGGTTTTTTCCATTTACCTATTGACCACTGTCAATACAAACTACTAAAATAAATTGTTTAAAATAATGTATCGAATAATTTTTCAAAATTACGATTAAATAGTTAAAATTAAGTTTACTTAAAATCTAACTATCACCTTTATCTAAAATAAATTAACTTTAACTAGCTAAAATGTCCAATATTGAATATTAATATAATAGTAACATAATAGTAATAGTATTATTATTAATATAATAATAAAATATAAATATAAGTAGGTCTTTGTAGTTTAACTCCAACACAATAAGAGCTTTTACTAGGATTTTGATTTACTTTTAAATTGTACAACTGTAAAAAATAACAAATTCTTTTATATTTTAAATAATATGAATAATACAAATAAACCCATACGGGCCCTTATCGTTGTTTTACATTGCTGCCATATAAAATTTTTTTCTAAATATAAAACAGAAATTATAAACTTACTTGATATTTCGTTTTTGACAAATTTTTATCTCATTTAATGATACATATTGTCTAACCAAAATTGTTAAACATATAACGTACGTACAATCGGTTCTTAACATTTATCATGATAGAAAATAATTCAGCTTATTACACGTATTACCTGTGATACTTTTGTTTCGGTATACCCCTAGATATAGCTTTCTGTATTATCATTTCAGTCACTAGTTCTAATAATATAATAACTTAATATTTTGTGTTTAATGAAAATTTATATAGTTAAAAAAAATATATTTCAGAAATTCCTCACAAATTTTCACAATATGAAATTTTAGCTTCGATGCGAACCTAAGAAGGTTTTTCTATGATGTTTTTTTTGTATCTATTACTATTTTCTTTCAGCTCTCACTGAACCGATTTATTTCAAAGATACATCAAAAGATCACAAATTGTATCTAGTCGAAGACATTACCCCCAAAAATTAAAAAAATTTTCCCGTTGTTGTTTCCCGTAAATGGGAGAAATTACTAAAAAAATATTACAATTTTAAAAGTCAATCATTTTGGACATTTTTTTAAATTCTTTTTCTTAAAACTACCATAATTATTTAAAAAATGTATGAAACAGAAAAAATTTAGTAAAATTTTTTATTGTATAAAATTTATGTTTAATAAAGTATTAATCAAATCATGTTGCTTTATAGATATTTTGATTTTTCCAAACATTTTTCCTTGTTATATAAATTATTGATATTTATGACTAAAATAAATTATTAAGATAATAAGCTTTATTTATCTGATTCATTTTTCAAAATTTTTTAAAGCTAATGAGACTCAATACTTACAATTAACAGCAATAAGATGGAGATGCATGTATATTAAAAATATAGTTTTATCACATTTTGACATATTTATAGTTTTTATTGTATAAATATAACTTATTAATTCATTGCATTTATACCTTACATTACATTAATCAATTAAAAATAAAATAAAATACAAATTTTAACGCAAACAAGTCTAATGCAGTCTACGATCATAGAAGAAATGAATTGAATAGTCATGTACGATAGCCGTGCCACACCCACATAAAATTAACCAATATAATAGTAAAAGAAAGTACAAACATTAATGTTTATAGTACGATTCTCACGCAATACACAAAACAAATCGAATGCCATGAATAAAAAAAACTTTTAAGTTCTAAATTAAAAATGACAATTGTTAAAACTGAGTGTTAATAGTAATAAATTATGATTTTATAACTATTATATAAAGTACTTACTATCAAGTTCTTATAATGGAAGTTTTCTTTACACTTAGTAAAATTAAAAATACTACCTTTAGTATTTTTAATTAGTATTTAAAATAGTATTTATTTTAGAAGATTTTCCATCAAAAAATGAAAATTTTGCTCTCGTTCCCCGTAAAATCCCCCAAAAAATGACTATTTTTAAAATCGATAAATTTCCACATTTTTTTTCTAAAAATTGCCATAATTTATTGAAAAATGAACAAATCAAAATAATTCTTTTTTATATTAAAATCTTAGATATTTTCCTTTCAATTTTTATTTAATTGTTTTTAATTGTGAACACTAAGTGAATACTTTTATACATTTTAACAAATTATTACGTGTTATTAGACATGAATATGAAAATAATTTTAGAAACAAAATTAATATAAATAATATTAATATAAAAATAATGATAGTTGGTTTATTGAGTTCAGTAATCAGATGTTAAACCAATTATTTTTATGAAAGGATCGTGTATAAATAAAATAAAAAATATAAATAATATTCCTAGTACAATGTTAGTTTGTATTAAAATTACGTGTTTTGTTTTCCTATAAAATAAAACCCGAATTACCATTAAATAATTATTAACTTGAAACATACCTGTGATAATTGAGAACTCCTATCTGATAAAGATCTCGTGAATAACTCATTTTCTATACCAACTGAGTGATCCCAACTTACAGTACGACTTCGTCTTCGGGTAGGTTTTTCTTTAATTTTATTCATTAAGTAGAGTTCAAAGTAAACACACGTCTTTTCACTATTACATACAATATATGTTAACGATACTTCCACTATATCTATCATGATATACACAATGATTACAAACAGCCAAAAAAAGGTTAATGGGTACTTGGTTTAATTAAAAATAAAATTATGTCATCTGTTAATAAAAAAAAGAAAATACTCGTACGCTACAGCCCGTAAGTTTAATTACGTTAAAATGTCGTGTCTAATATCACTCAACATTTCAGTTAACACTTCCAATTAAAAATATCATGAATATTTATTAATAAAACGAAATAATTCAGTAAATTTACTTTTAGCCTTATTTCAGTTGAATTAAAGTTTTGAAATAATTATAATAATATTAAATTTTATAAAACCAAAGCGTTTTTTACAATTTAATCACTGTCAAAAATTAAAATTTTTGACAGTGTTTACATTCATACATTCTACCATTTGTAATATTATATTATTACATATGATATTAACATATAATATGATGTTATCATTTGTACATGTATGTCACATATTATGATTATACAAGATCACCAAAACAGGGTTCTCTTATTTAAGATACAAAATAACCCTTTAATTATACGATAAAATCTCCCTCTTGTAGAAATTATTAAGTAACGCCTACACGCAGGAACCCTCTTTTAATTAACCAATTAGAATACAAAGCCTTAGCTTCCAGGATCACGGTAGAGATCGCTGGGTTACCCCCTTCAGACTATAAAAAGCCATTTTCCCCCATCTAAACCAGTTCTTTCGACGATTTTAAAATACACAAAATCTACGACACTCTACTCAAGATTTCACTCTCCGGGACTTAGTCGATTTTTTAATTAATTTGGACTTAGAATATTTTTCTTTAAAACTAAATGACACTTAGAAATTTCAAGGTGAAATCTGTTTTGGTGAATCTTTTAATTTAATTTAATTTGTTCATTAAATAATAATGTTTTATTTGTATTGTTGTGAAAATAAATGTCAAATAATATTTTAAACATTAAACCCTTTTTTAAAATTATTTTATTTTAATAATAAATCCAACCCAACTTTAAATTTTAGTAATAAAAATATATTGTGAGCTTTTCTTATTGGTTAGCTAGTCTTTGAGCTTAATATCTTTGTTGTAACGAACATCGCGCCGGCGGACAGAGCTAAAGGTCACAATTTCCTCAGTCAATACTGAGGATTAAATTAATTTATTAATAAATATATTGGACTAAGTGTATTGCAACTCTATACTTATTGGGTAGCTAGTCATTGACCTTAATAACTTTGCTTTAACGAGCATCGCGCCGGCGGACAGCGCAAAGAAACTTACAAATATATTTTTAGTGTTTAATTTTTGTCTTGGTGATTATTGTGCCACATCCTTTCAAGGCGCTTTCTAGTGCCGGGATACATTGGGCCACCACAATTTCGTCTTGATAAATTTTTTTACAATGATATAAATATTTCTGAATTTTGTTTTGGCCAGACCAGAGAAACATTTAAGAAATATTGGTGTCAATCTCTCAATAAAATATACTCTCTAAAAAAATACTTGTTCAACAGACGTAAAAAAATTGAAATTATATTTATAATAAAATATAGAGTATATAGAATCTTTTACAAGTAAGATCAGTCGTAGACTTTGTATAATTAAATCTTATTATTTTAAATTTTATATGACGTATAGTATAAATCGTATAATATACATATTATGTAGTGTGTTTAATACCAAAATCAACATTGGATTATTTGAAATATTATTGCATTACACAGGATGTAAGGTAAGTACAATTTAATCTATGCTTTTGAATCTCCAACAATCTATTGCGTAATAAACTATTAATAAATAATAAGAGAAACAATTAATGTATAAAGCATATAATAAATATTATAGACAAGACATTTAATTTGTATTTTAATTATAATTTAATAATAAAAACCACATAATTAATATAACTATAACCCTCCATTTATTTATATTTTATTTAATTATTTACTTTTACCCCTACAATCTAATTAATTTATTTTTAATTCTTTTTTATTTTTGGTTTATTACAATTCAATAAATCACTATTTTAACGTCCATTCTCCTCTTTCTACTGCTCTCCAACAATATCTTCGTGATCTTCCATACTCGCGTTATCAATTGAAAACTGATTATTTATTCCAACATCACATTCAATGCATAAAAAATACATTTTTTTGAGATGACAGACTTACTACTACCAATTTCAGTAATGGTTAAAGATCGTATTAATATCTTTGATTTTTTTATGCACTGTACATTAATACCCAGTATATTTCAGTCGTGTCGAGTAGCCAAATCTATTTTTAAACAAAAAAAAATTGTCCTTTATCTCGTTACAGATAAGTTTCCTAATATAAATAGCACGTTCAATTAAGTTTTGCGAATCAACTCTACATGTGGTGCAAAACTAATTGCTTTAAAAAGAGGATTAGTAACTTTTCTAAAACCAGAATTTTCTATTGATTTAATAGGTCTACCAATTAGTATGATTATTTCAAAACAGTCATCGATTATTGAAATAAGACGAACCTTAACTTAAGCAGTCACAAATCTTCGTAAAAATGTATAAAAATCGAATATTTTGTGATTTTTATTAATTTAAAATGAATAGATTAAAAGAAACAATAACTCCCAACTGATAATTCTTTTTCTGCGAGCGATATAAAAATTATTTATTTATATTTTATTTAATATAAATATAAAAATAAATAAATAAATTTAAATAATAACATTAAATATGATTAATTAATTAAATTATTATTATTATTATTATAATTATTATTTTATTTACCAAACGATTCATATTATGAAAAAAAAGGATAGAAATAATAATAATAATCAGTTTTACATCCTTATATTTACCTAACTTAACATTCTATAGTGGGTAGTGGTGGATAATTACAAAAGCAACATCAACTTCTATTTCCTTAATTATATCCCGATTAGTAGTTCTTAGATTCAAAAATATATTATTTAATTTTTTAATCATATTATATAATTTTTATAATTAAATGTTTTCAAATTATTATTGATTTTGATTTTTAATATGTTAGAATTAATCATTTTTAACCTAATTTTTTTTGTTCTTTAATTAAAAAGTTTATAATAAAAAAAAAAAGTAGAGAAGACGAGGAGAGCAACGTAAGCTCGATAACACCCCTCATCGATTGCGTTACAACAGGGGATTGGGTTCCGTCCAGTTGTAGCGTCACGTAAGAAGATGCGGGATTGGCTACTTGCATCTCCTTCCCCAACGGAGGAAGAAGTAAAGAGAAATAACTGATGTTGTCTATGTCTCATAACTTTTGTAATGAATCAAAATAGAAGTTTCGAGAATATTCAAGAAACTTCTAAAATAATCTTTCCACATAAATAATTATCAATTTTAAATACTTTTTTGACTGACAATTATTTTATTACTTTGTACAAATTGGAGCGTCATTTGGAGCGATGTTTACATTAATATCAATCTTTATAATTACCATAAGCGTATTTGTGGCGCCGAACAGACGGCAGGATAAAATAGTTAAACTCTTAAGAAAAACGGGCCTCCCTTCATCACCTTACCAATTAATTTAATATAAAAGGGCTAGTAAAATTAGCACAGACACACACTCGCATACTCTCACTTTCATTCTCACTTATTATTCCCCCATACTCTTACACTTTCATATTAAAAGTTAATAATGTAAAATTCATGTTACTTTTGTTAATTTTAACATTAAGACTTATATACATTTGATAAAATAATTAGTAAAAATCATAGAACTAAACTCAGTATCTTGCCCCTCATACCAGTATTTTTATTTATTTAAATTAACTTAAAATATCTACGTCAACAAGGAACATTACAATTCATCATCTATCTACGAATCCATTTGGATATCAAGGTAAGTGTAGTCGTAAGACTTGTACTATATTTATGTAATATTGTAGTGAATCAAAAAAAGAAAATAATATTATTTATTGTATTTTAAAAAGGGGGTATTACTTGTACTAATTTAGAGAGTACTTTGAAAGTTACTTAAAAAAAATAAATTAAATAGAATATGAACATCCAACCTAACTCCTGAAATAGACATATATCAACGATATATCTCTGCCAAGTAACTCTGTACAAACATTATCGATTTATTAAATTTACTGGGTATATTTATTATTATTATTGATAATCACTTGATTTTCCTGTATGCCTACTTAATCTATGTACTCATAAAATTTAATTCTAAACCTTATTTATTTTTGGTGAATTTATTAGATTCCTACCTTGATATTTTCTGTGACACTCTTAAATAAATAGATATTGTATTTTTTGTACATATATATTTGTGATGACGGCGATCACTTCTTGCATATATTATATTATATGGAATGATCGAGCGAAGTGAGTGCCTCTGAATATCTGACTGCATCTGTCTTTTAATGCTCTTTATTTTTGGCTTTTTATATTGAAAGGTTACAAATATAAAAAAAAATCGAATTAATTGGCCGCAACGAAAAATTTGTAACTTTCATGGCGCATTGAAAAATTAACAAGAAAAGGGTCGCCAACCTACTGGGGGAGACAATGTATTGTCGGACTACAGTAGGATTTTAAAGAGAAATTAAATTTTGTATATTAAAACAATAAAAAATATATAAAATTAATAAATATTAAAGTTGATGTCCGTTGAGTCGTTGATAGTACATGTATACCAAAACCTCGTGACAGTTGTCACATAACCATATAGATCAGGGATGACCTTATACAAGGCCGTTGCCCGTAACTTATAAACTAGGGGAGTTGATTTTTGAAAGGAAAAAAATACACGAGTCTGTCATAAAAAAAAGAAAGGTAAAAGGGATATGGTTATTAATAAAAAGAATGAAGATATGAAGGAAATAAAATAATTGCCCATATTTGTGATATTTATATTTTTAGCTTCGATGCGAAGCGGAAAAGGTATTAATTTTACTATGACGTGTTTTTTTTTTTTTTTTTTTNCGATCTATCTTCTATGCACAAATGGCTACCATATTCAAAAATATGCTATTTTAACAAATTTTTTTTTTTTAATTTAACACTATCTACAGATTTGCATCGAACCGTTTTTTATGATA